TCCCCACCTTCGGGGTGAATCGCCCTTCGCTCTTGGCGTGGAGTGGGGTGACTGAGGCAGGGGCCCCCCGCACCCTAGAGAGGGCCGTGCACTTACACTGTCGTTGTAAAGCATGCAAGGAAGTAATTTAGCTTTCGTCTTGGGAATAGTGTGGTTAAGTGAGTAAAACTTGAAACACAGCTCTGTCTAGGATGTCCGGATGCGTTGGCATGAACTTCTTGGCTGCTTTCCTGACTCTAAAAGCCTAGGGAGTATCTGCTGGAAAACAAACCATGCAGTGCGTGTCTGCAGGTTGTCACCACTGGCTTCGGGTACTTTTTTTGTGGATGATATCAAACTGAGTGGTGCGGTTGACACACCAGAAGGACGGGATGTCATCCAGAGAGACCTGGACAGGCTGGAGAGGTGGGCCTGTGTGAACCTCATGACGTTCAACAAGGCCAAGTGCAAGGTCCTGCACCTGGGTCGGGGTAACCCCCAGTATCAGTACAGGCTGGGGGAAGAAAGGATCAAGAGCAGCTTTTTTACAAAAATGATCCGAGGGCTGGAGCACCTCTCCTACGAGGACAGGCTGAGAGAGTTGGGCTTGTTCAGCCTGTAGAAGAGAAGGCTGTGGGGAGACCTGATTGCGGCCTTTTGGTACTTAAAGGGGGCCTATAGGAAAGATGAGGAAAATCTTTTTAGTAGGGCCCGCTGTGTCAGGACAAGGGGTAATGGTTTTAAACTGAAGCAGGGTAGGTTTAGACTAGATATAAGGAAGAAATTCTTTACAGTGAGGGTGGTAAAACACTGGAATGGGTTGCCCAGAGAGGTGGTGGAGGCCCCATCCCTGGAAACATTCAAGGCCAGGTTGGACGGGGCTCTGAGCAACCTGATCTGGTTAGCGGTGTCCCTGCTCACTGCAGGGGCATTGGACTAGATGACCTCTAGGGTTCCCTTCCAACCCAAAACATTCTATGATTCTATGATACTGTAGTGAGTGTTAGCTCTGAAAGAAAACCATGGTTGTTTAAAAAGCTCATGGTGGCTTCAAAATGCATTGTGAAAACTTTTGAGGCAGGGCATTTTGAAAAACAGCCTCAGACTGTCATGAGTCATAAATAATTGCATGGAACTTTTTGATGACCAGCTGCTGGTCAGCCATCAAAAAGAGAGATGTTCCTATTGCTAAAGCATGAGCCCAAACGAGAATTACCTGTCAAATAAGCATGGGTTTGTATTATTATAATATGAAAGCAAGCAAGTTTGTATTCTTGATTCATTTAGTATTATTTTGTGCTTTGTGATATTTTTCTCTTGAAATTGCTACGCATGTGTGCATATATTAACATAGATAAAAAGTTTTTCTGAACTTTGGAGAGAGTTTGACGGTCTCTTTAATCTGTGTCCATGAAAACATGGTTATTTAGTATTTTCCGTCCATAATTCTCAGCTTGTTTGAAAAAACAGGGGAGATGCCATTGTCATATTGCCGAAAGAGGTTAAATACCTGATGTCTTTGTGAAGTGTTTTGTAGCTGCGAGTCCAGTGTTCTGCCTCTGGAGGGTTTGTTACAATCATCTTTTTTTATGTCTGTCACAGTGCGTTCTCCCCATATTTCTCTACTACCACTGACGTTCTGTGCACTTACTGGATTTGGTCCCACTCATGGCAGGCCCCGAGAACTAAAAACTGCAAGCATCACAGTTCATCTGGTAGCACCGAGAATGCCGCGCGATCAGCGACACTTTCTGTTTCGTGACGGGAATAATTACTGAAGTGGAAAGCAAATTTGGTAGTGAAGTCTCCTTTTTCTGTGCTTCCCTGCTGCACCTGGGCTCCCCTCCCGCTCCTACTGTCCCCTTTGGTTGATTGAAGGCTGCATGGACGATGTGATGCAGGATATGTTTGACGTTCCTTTTGTCGAAACGCTGCCTTCCCTTGGATTTGTAACTCCACTACTGCCCGGGAAGCTGACATACCTCCGCACTGCACCACGCCGTAACTTGCAGGCTCAGCACTGATAATGATATGCAACTAAGCAGACAATTTGTATCCCTCAGCTTTTGTGGTAGATAAGCTAATACTGGCCACAAAGTATAGTGCTGTGTTTGAGCTACACTTCTCTTGAATTTTGGCAGCTGGTTAAACATTTTCATTGCGTTATTATGGATAACCCCTAGTATCAGGCTGAAGAATGCAAACCTGATGCCTTTTTGCTGCTTTTAGAGTCTGCGTCACTTGGTCCTTGCAAGCACTTGTAAGGCTGGAATGATCCACTCTGAATTAAAACCTTAATACCTGTCAGGAGCAGAGTACCAAGAAACATTTCGGCTGTTAAATCTGGAGCAGATTCAGTGGAAACCATGGAAAATAGCAGCAATGTTCTCGGCCTCGGAAGGCTTAGATCCTGGTTTAAAGACATGTCTCAGTTGGCACTTTGAAGGAAGAATTAGTTATGCAGTTATGCTTGGATTTGCCTCCCACCTCTGGTTTTATTTTTATGTAAAATTGTGAAAACATGCTGATGCACAGCATTTGTAGTTCTCTGCGAATGCATTGCGTTAGCTTTTATGGTTAAGATTGCTGCTGTGTAAAATCTTAGATGCAGAAAAAAAAAGGTCAGTATTTCTGTTTTTCTCTCTCAAATTCAGCGATCCTCAATGCTTGCGCAGAGGACATTTGGCTGAAGAATGGCTTGCAGGCATGGACTGGCAGAAGCAATGTTTGTAATGCAAGGAACATACCCAGAACACCACATCGCCGTGAGGGGAGCATGAGCTCAGCAGACAGCTTTGTGCTGCGCTGTATATCACTGGCCCGTGTGACCAGTCTTTGGCAAGACACGGTGCTTGGAATGCCTCTGCCCGGGTACAGATCTGCCCAGAGGACGCCGAGGACTTTGTCAGCCGTCTACGGCGTCGCCGTTCAAGCAGGACGTGTTTGTCTACAGCGCCTCGCCCGGCAGCGAGAGCCCGGGCGTGGGGGCCGCGGCCACCCCCGTGATCATGAGCAGGAGCCCCACAGGTGGGTTCTGGGGGCACGGGAGGGCTGGGGGGAGGCACCGGCTCTGCCTTTGCTCCCGGAGCCCCTGGAAGCCCCCAGGGACCCGCAGCGGTGGGTCGGGATGGGCTCTGCGGCTCTGGGATGGCCAGAGGACGCCGAGGACTTTGTCTCTTTCCTCCCCCACGTTAGCAGTGCAAGCCGCAGCGTGCCTCTCGCGGCATACGGTGGTGCCTGTTCATCTCTCGTCTCTGTCCTGTAGCGATGATGAGTCTTGCCACGATGCTGTTCCCTGTGCGTCTTGGTGCATTTTATAAAGACTGAGGAATGAAGCACTACCGCATGTGGGGGAAGTGATGCAGCAGCCGTTATTCATGTGGAGAGACTGAAGGAAGGAAAGCCGAAGTGAGTTGTGGGTGATGCAACAGGAGCAGGCTTCCATTTCCAGTCACCCAGTGTTTTGTCTTACCCTTGCTGCTTCATACCTAATTGTCTCTGTTCTGCGGCACGACGGTGATAGCGCTGTAAACCGCTTTGACATTTGCAGAGCACAA